TTAATTGTTTGTCAGTGACCGATTTTGTGACCCCCTTGGCTTTTTTAAGAGTGATGTTGTTGTCATCCGCTAAAATCGAATACATCTTAGGTCTTACGCAAACTGCTTCTTGAATGACCTTACCTCCAAATTCGTCTTTAAATTTACCAATCACTTTCTTATTGGTTGGATTGTACAAAGGATGATCTGTTGGGTAATTTGAAAAGTCGTAGTGTTGCCCGTGAGATTGTATGTCTTCGTATATGTCATCCGTGTAAACGACAATCAACAGACTGTCCGTATCAGTATACATCAACCTGATTTGATCTCCGTACTTGTCTTTCAATCGGTTGTAATAAAAATCGTACATCAGCGTCTTTGAGAGATCTAAGATGCTCACTCCGCAGTAGATTGGTTTGTTTAACAAGGTTTTAGTCTTGTACGTTTCGACAAACGACAGGTCACATTCTGGAAACGGCGTTGTTGTTTTATAGCTCGGTTTTTGAATTATTTTTTTGTATTTTTCTTGATCGCTCTCGTTATTATCTCTCAGTAGGTAACCATCTATTCGGTTTCTAACGTTTTCCATCGTCTTACCAAACACGCTGTTATTCATCAGTTTAAAAAAGTCTTTCTCAAAATCAGAGGACGCTTTGGTTCGGAGTTGCGTGTTTTTGTCGATGTAAGATTTCATCCAAGGCGCTTGTTTAAATTTTAACACGCGATGTACCTTTTTTAGTTTCAAACCTAGATTGAGATATGACTGCAACGTGACGTAGTGCAACACGTATTTTTGTTTTGGATTGAGGGTACACGTTAATTTTTGTACGTCGCTACTAGGTTCGGTATCTAATAATTCGTTTTGATAATCAGACATCCACTCTTGGGGTATGATGATGTTTTCTGGTGCTAGGGGAAAATCGTTATGCTTGGTGTGTAGATCGTTCGGGTAATCGAGGTCTACTTCAAAGCAATAACCGGTGTTTGACGTTTTCTTCAGCGTTAATATTCTTTCTTCGGTAAACGGTTTCGAGGGTGTCCATTTAAAATCGCTGTACGGTAGATATTGACTCATAGCCCAACCGTACAGATTGTTGGCATCCAGATAAGCGATATAACTCGAGGGTTTGTTTGAATCGTAGTCATCAAGATATTGATTATTGGCTTTGTGATGTCTCATTCCACCCACGCTAGATATGCCTCCTCGTTTTGCTTTTTCAAAAAATAAATGTTTGTCTACGTCTTGCAATAGTTCGAGTTTAACTTCCGAGTGTTTCAATAGAGCATCCCACGACAATCCGGGTGCGGTGTAATAATTGGCTGGATCTAACCCGTAGTTTGTAATGCACGTTCTTCTAAAGTTTTCAAATACGCCTGCAAGTAATAACGTATCGGTCGTCACGTATAAATCGTGATATTCTCCTAGATTGTGTATATTAAACTCATACCACACGCGTTGAGCTCTGTCGTAGTCTTGTTGCGATATATGTTCGTCTTTTAGTCTGCTATAAAACTTACCGATGGGTGGTAGGCTGGTCTCTTGAAACTTATCAAACGAGTTCATATATTCGTAGGGATAAATTCCTTTTTGTAATAGCAAGTCAGAATGTTTAAAATGCTTTTTGAGTAGCTGAAACGACTCTTTTGGGCAAGCTTTCACTAATTTATCCAACGACGATGCCATAAAACTAAACGAGTCTAAAAATCGTAGATTTCCTATCGAGAACGAAATATACTTTTCTGAATTTTTAGCGATCACTTGTATTTCTGTTTGACTATCGTATTCTGTCATTCCCTGCATGATTAAATGCGCGTCGTAATTTTGTAAATTGTGAAAAAAGACCGGTATCGGTGTACAACCGGGTTTAATTTGTAGTTTGAGGTTACAATAGGCGTGTGCGGCACCTCTATATTTACCAGTGACGTGGCAGTGATCTCTCACCTTTCTAAATTTATTGATTCTCTTTTTACAGTCGAGACATTTAGACTCGGTAAATCCCTTACTGTTTTTGCACTGATATTCTTTTATTTGTTTTATCGTCTTGGGTTCCCTGGGTTTCTGGCACTGACAGTTGCTCGAGTAATTGGGATAAATTGGTTTTTCGCAAATCCAACACGCGTTTGTTTTATCGTGATGTTCTTTAGCTCGCTCGTTAAATTTCATGGTTTGGGGTTTTTCAAATAGACAATTAATATCGCTTTGTAATTGTAACAACGTCGTTATAAATCTAGTTGAAGCGTCTTTACCTCTATAAGTCTCTTGATATACATTTTTACCGTCACATCGGACGACAACTAGCGAATAACCGCTAGCTTTGTGAACGTTAATCTTTTTTGTGTTTGTCTCTTTATCTGTGGATGTTGTTGTTTGTAATATGGATTCAAAGTCGGCATAAATGACAAATGGTGCTTTTTGTTTGTGCCTATAGTTTTTAAATTCTAATATCGGTACGTCTCTCTCTTCACTTGGTTGCCCGTCTATGTATTTTGGTTTACCCAGAGGAAATACAATCTTTGATGGATGTGTATCTATACCCTTACAATCGGTGATATGTCTGTCTAATTTGTTTTGATTGGTAAAATGACAAAGACATCTTCGACAAAAATATTTCTTACATTTATGTTTCGTAACGTCGTATATCAACCTCGTAAAATCTTTTATCCAACAATAGTGATGCTTGTCACCTTTAGAAATCAAAAGCAGATCGATCTCTTTCCCCTTGTAGTTTTTAGACACGTATAATGGATATATCTCACCCTCATAACCATATACGTTTATCGATAAATTATTTTGTCTTTCTATCTTGGGTATCTGATCGACCGGTGTCGGAAAGTCAACGCCTTTAAAACTGAGTCCGTCGTCTTTGGTGTATACAACGGGTTCTTCTTTATGAATTTTATAATTAGGATTATTTCTTATTTGATTTTTTACTTTATCCGTATACAACTCAAGAGCAGCTCTCAAACACCATCTCAAACACTCATCGTCTTTGTTTTTGATGTTGATCATCGCCTTCTTAATTTTAAGATATTCGGGTAGGTCTATGTAGGAACTACCTCTCGCTGGATTATATCTGTTGATGTTGATGTATAACGCCATTATCTTTTTTAAAACCCAACCCGATCCTTGATTCGTATACCTTTCATCCTTTTTGAATAGCTCTTCGATCTCTTCTTTTAAAGCCTGTTTTATTTGACTTTGATTTAAAACGGCTTTTTGCTTGCTATAATGAATAGCTTCGATCGTTTCGATCGTACCATCCGGTTTGGTTTTTTCGTATTTTATTTTGATTGTGAGCTCCATTTTAAAACCTCTCAGCTCTCTCAATTCAGACTTGATTTTATTGACTATTTGTTCCTTGTGCGAATCAAAAAACTTGATTAAATCGTGGTTATAAAGTCTAGGGTTTAATTCCCAGTTTCTGTAGTAATTTCTAAACCTTCTCGTTTCTCTAAAAGCTGACTCTGTAAAGTATTCGGGTTGTCTGTATGTTTTAATCGCCGAGATTAAATCTTTTTTCAAAACTCGTCCTTTATAACCCGTCGGTACGTATTCTAGATTTTGTTCGTCTACAATCTGTTTGAGCTCATAAAGTTTCTTTTTCCTCAAGTTTTTAAATTTACTTTCATAATGTTTTATCCCCTCGATGTAGACTTTACGAGTAAGAGAAACATTTTCATTGTGCGGTATATTATACCGCTGTACGTAATCACGCAGCGTGGCTTTGTTCCATTTAGAATATCCTTTGACGGTCGGTCTAAACATATTACCCTCCATTTTATTATAGGAAATATAATATTTTTTTCTTCATTTTTTTTTGAGGTTAGACTTTTAGATTTATAAATAAATAGACTCCCCTCATTTTAGCGACGACAGATTTTTCTCTCTCACTCTCTCTCCGTTAGATTTTTTTTTTTTATTTTTTTTTTTCCTTGAGATCGGGGGATTTCCCATTGGCCCTGTACTACCCACAGACCTATGACAAAGTCTGGTACCCTGACTTCTCATTAATGGCCCTGTACTACCCACAGACCTATGACAAAGTCCAGCACCCCCGCCTCCCTTACTACTGATTTAGCTCTGGCAATGGCACGATGAACTTGGCGAGAGCTGTGACCCCTGGCCACCAAGTTGTTCTTCAGTATCTGTGTATGGCGGGAGAAATCGGAATCATTAGAACAAATTCTTCTGAGTCTGAGTGCCTGGCTAAACGCTATGCCAGTTTTGCAGTGCCTGGGGTGACAGCTGGAGGAGTGGAGGTACTGGTGGGTGTCTGTGGGTTTGGAATACAGGTCAGTGGTTAGTGAGTTGCCTTGCTTGCGGACGGTGACATCCAGAAAGTGGGTTTGGTGAGCCGAGAACTCCGATGTGAATTTGATGGTTCTGTGGAAGGAATTGATGTGGTTAGTGAAGGTCAAGAGACTGTCCTCATCACTGGTCCAGATGAAGAAAACATCATCAATATATCTCCACCAGATCCAAGGGCGACATGGGGCCGAGGTAAAAATGCGTTCTTCGAGGTCACCCATGAAGAGGCAAGCCATCGACGGGGCCATGCGAGTGCCCATTGCAGTGCCGTGTACCTGTAGATAGTGTTCACCAAGGAAGGAAAAATTGTTCTTCGTTAGTATAAGTCTCATGAGGCTCATGAGTATTAATTATCTTTTCATTTTTTATTCCAAAACTGCTTTTTGAGGGCACAAATCTGATTTCAGTGTATTGAAACAAAAAACCCTCAAATTATATCCTCATTTGTAATTGTTTGAATAAATGAGTTATTCTCTTTCATTGACAGTAGAAATCGGCTATGTCGTTTATTTCACATTTCGGTCATTTTTGCTGGACAGTTACTGACAGTGATTGTGTGGTTAATGATCAATCCTTACCCGGGACTCAAATCCAGGATTCAAACCCTGTTAAGTATCTAGGTGGACAAGGTATTGCACGGGAGGGGTTGGTTGGTTAGGGAACATCTAATCTTGGCTCCCCACAGCACCTGGTCCCGTTTGGTCTATAGAGGGCGCTAGGCAAACAAAACAGTTGAGCACGTGGGTACTTGGCCAGCGCCAGTGCAGTGCGAGTGTGCATAAATATAAAGTCTGCTGAATGTTTGGAACGGTGTTGACGCAAGAATAGTCCTGAAATGACGATGATGGTTTGTATAATGTTAAATTCCCAGGTAAAATGGGAATGGTCTGTCATTGTGAAAACTGTAGTAATATCCAGACAGACGCCACTTCAGCGGTTGTGTACAAAGTCTACTATGGAGAGTCAAGTAGCCTAAGTAGGCCTATTTCTTTTGGAAATGTTTCTCACATGGAGGAATAAGAACAGTCAAAGATTCATGTCTTTTCAACATTTTTGCAATGACTGACCTTTATTGAGATGATGTATGGAAAGAATGTTGCAACCTGACGCTGCTTATTTCTTCATATATCATCTCAATAAAGATCAGTCATTGCAAAAATGGGAAAAAATGTTGCAACCTGACGCCAATTCCGTGATTGTGTACAAAGTCTATGCCTATGGAGAGTCCAATTTTTTTAAAAGTATTTCTTAAAGGGAATATACATCATTTGCTTTTGCTGTAATTTTCAGAAATGGATGGAATTGGGGGGTTGGAAATTTATAGCAAATATAGTTACACTGACTTTTTTGAGGTTTTTGGTTCAAAAATGCTATAAAAACCAAGAAAAACAACCATTTTCCTGTAGTCTGGTTCCCTGACTCCATTTAAGAAGAAACAGAGCAATTTACGTACATTGGGGAATTGTAAGGTCAGGGAACCAGTCTAGCTGGCTTGTACCCGTTCATAGGTGTGTAATCGATTGCAAACAAGTGCGATGGTCAATTGGGGCCAGTATTTGAAAAAAAGCCAGTTTTTTCCAACGCTGGTCGGCTGATCAGCGTTGGAAATTGATACAAAAATACCACTTTTCTTGAAAATGACAGTATACCAGGTGCCATGATTTTACAGGATGCTTTACACTGTCATTCACTAACAGTCCAGCAAGGTCTTTCAAAATGATTTGGTAGTTTTATTTTTTGATGTTTGCAAATGTTGTATTTTCCCTTTAACAAAATTGCAAAAGTTTCTCAGTCCCAGATTCATGTCTTATCATCAGTTTTGCAATGAATTACCTTCATTGAGATGATATACATGTATGAAGAAAAAAGTGGCGTCAGGTTGCAACATTTTTTTCCCCAAAATGATGATAAGACATGGGTCCGGGACTGAGAAACACTTCCAATTTTGTTTAAAAATACTTTAAAAAAATTCTTGACTCTCCATAGACTTGATACACAACCGCTGATGGCATTGTAACAGTCCGAAGACCATTACCAGGTTCGGATGGAAGAGAGAAAGGGATTAATTCTTCACTGCAGACTCTCAATTACATCTTGATTGGTTTATTTATGACTATGTACAACGGCAAGACAGAAGCTTGGTAGCATAAAATGGCACGACAGTAGAGCGCGTAATGAATATGCATGACGTCACTAGAAGCTCATGAGTAATATATCACGCACGGTACTGATAGATATACATGTAGATGCACACTGTATGTGCTGCATCCCACTTACCGATGATATCACATTTAACAAGTCCTCTTTCTACTGTCGCGCCGCCTCCCTCTAGTGTCGTCCCACTTACCGATGATATCACATTTAACAAGTCCTCTTTCTACTGTCGTGCCGCCACCCTCTAGTGTCGTCCCACTTACCGATGATATCACATTTAACAAGTCCTCTTTCTACTGTCGCGCCGCCACCCTCTAGTGTCGCCCCACTTACCGATGATATCACATTTAACAAGTCCTCTTTCTACTGTCGCGCCGCCACCCTCTAGTGTCGCCCCACTTGATGATCATCGGTGGGTGGGACGACACTAGAGGGTGGCGGCACGACAGTAGAAAGAGGACTTGTTAAATGTGATATCATCGGTAAGTGGGGCGACACTAGAGGGTGGCGGCACGACAGTAGAAAGAGGACTTGTTAAATGTGATATCATCGGTAAGTGGGGCGACACTAGAGGGTGGCGGCGCGACAGTAGAAAGAGGACTTGTTAAATGTGATAACATCGGTTAGTGGGGCGACACTAGAGGGTGGCGGTGCGACAGTAGAAAGAGGACTTGTTAAATGTGATATCATCGATAAGTGGGACGACACTAGAGGGTGGCGGCGCGACAGTAGAAAGAGGACTTGTTAAATGTGATATCATCGGTAAGTGGGACGACACTAGAGGGTGGCGGCGCGACAGTAGAAAGAGGACTTGTTAAATGTGATATCATCGGTTAGTGGGGCGACACTAGAGGGTGGCGGCGCGACAGTAGAAAGAGGACTTGTTAAATGTGATAACATCGGTAAGTGGGGCGACACTAGAGGGTGGCGGTGCGACAGTAGAAAGGGGACTTGTTAAATGTGATAACATCGGTAAGTGGGGCGACACTAGAGGGTGGCGGTGCGACAGTAGAAAGAGGACTTGTTAAATGTGATAACATCGGTAAGTGGGGCGACACTAGAGGGTGGCGGTGCGACAGTAGAAAGAGGACTTGTTAAATGTGATAACATCGGTAAGTGGGGCGACACTAGAGGGTGGCGGTGCGACAGTAGAAAGGGGACTTGTTAAATGTGATAACATCGGTAAGTGGGGCGACACTAGAGGGTGGCGGTGCGACAGTAGAAAGAGGACTTGTTAAATGTGATAACATCGGTAAGTGGGGCGACACTAGAGGGTGGCGGTGCGACAGTAGAAAGAGGACTTGTTAAATGTGATAACATCGGTAAGTGGGACGACACTAGAGGGTGGCGGCGCGACAGTAGAAAGAGGACTTGTTAAATGTGATATCATCGGTAAGTGGGGCGACACTAGAGGGTGGCGGTGCGACAGTAGAAAGAGGACTTGTTAAATGTGATAACATCGGTAAGTGGGGCGACACTAGAGGGTGGCGGCGCGACAGTAGAAAGAGGACTTGTTAAATGTGATAACATCGGTAAGTGGGACGACACTAGAGGGTGGCGGCGCGAAAGTAGAAAGAGGACTTGTTAAATGTGATAACATCGGTAAGTGGGGCGACACTAGAGGGTGGCGGCACGACAGTAGAAAGAGGACTTGTTAAATGTGATATCATCGGTAAGTGGGAGACACTAGAGGGTGGCGGCGCGACAGTAGAAAGAGGACTTGTTAAATGTGATAACATCGGTAAGTGGGGCGACACTAGAGGGTGGCGGTGCGACAGTAGAAAGAGGACTTGTTAAATGTGATAACATCGGTAAGTGGGACGACACTAGAGGGTGGCGGTGCGACAGTAGAAAGAGGACTTGTTAAATGTGATAACATCGGTAAGTGGGGCGACACTAGAGGGTGGCGGTGCGACAGTAGAAAGAGGACTTGTTAAATGTGATAACATCGGTAAGTGGGGCGACACTAGAGGGTGGCGGTGCGACAGTAGAAAGAGGACTTGTTAAATGTGATAACATCGGTAAGTGGGGCGACACTAGAGGGTGGCGGTGCGACAGTAGAAAGAGGACTTGTTAAATGTGATATCATCGGTAAGTGGGGCGACACTAGAGGGTGGCGGTGCGACAGTAGAGAAAGAGGACATGTTAAATGTGATATCATCGGTAAGTGGGACGACACTAGAGGGTGGCGGTGCGACAGTAGAAAGAGGACTTGTTAAATGTGATAACATCGGTAAGTGGGGCGACACTAGAGGGTGGCGGTGCGACAGTAGAGAAAGAGGACATGTTAAATGTGATATCATCGGTAAGTGGGACGACACTAGAGGGTGGCGGCGCGAAAGTAGAAAGAGGACTTGTTAAATGTGATAACATCGGTAAGTGGGAGACACTAGAGGGTGGCGGCGCGACAGTAGAAAGAGGACTTGTGATATCATCGGTAAGTGGGAGACACTAGAGGGTGGCGGCGCGACAGTAGAAAGAGGACTTGTGATATCATCGGTAAGTGGGAGACACTAGAGGGTGGCGGCGCGACAGTAGAAAGAGGACTTGTTAAATGTGATAACATCGGTAAGTGGGACGACACTAGAGGGTGGCGGCGCGAAAGTAGAAAGAGGACTTGTTAAATGTGATAACATCGGTAAGTGGGGCGACACTAGAGGGTGGCGGCACGACAGTAGAAAGAGGACTTGTTAAATGTGATAACATCGGTAAGTGGGGCGACACTAGAGGGTGGCGGCGCGACAGTAGAAAGAGGACTTGTTAAATGTGATAACATCGGTAAGTGGGGCGACACTAGAGGGTGGCGGTGCGACAGTAGAAAGAGGACTTGTTAAATGTGATAACATCGGTAAGTGGGGCGACACTAGAGGGTGGCGGTGCGACAGTAGAAAGAGGACTTGTTAAATGTGATAACATCGGTAAGTGGGGCGACACTAGAGGGTGGCGGCGCGACAGTAGAAAGAGGACTTGTTAAATGTGATAACATCGGTAAGTGGGGCGACACTAGAGGGTGGCGGTGCGACAGTAGAAAGAGGACTTGTTAAATGTGATAACATCGGTAAGTGGGGCGACACTAGAGGGTGGCGGTGCGACAGTAGAAAGAGGACTTGTTAAATGTGATAACATCGGTAAGTGGGACGACACTAGAGGGTGGCGGTGCGACAGTAGAAAGAGGACTTGTTAAATGTGATATCATCGGTAAGTGGGGCGACACTAGAGGGTGGCGGTGCGACAGTAGAAAGAGGACTTGTTAAATGTGATAACATCGGTAAGTGGGGCGACACTAGAGGGTGGCGGTGCGACAGTAGAGAAAGAGGACATGTTAAATGTGATATCATCGGTAAGTGGGAGACACTAGAGGGTGGCGGCGCGACAGTAGAAAGAGGACTTGTTAAATGTGATAACATCGGTAAGTGGGACGACACTAGAGGGTGGCGGTGCGACAGTAGAAAGAGGACTTGTTAAATGTGATATCATCGGTAAGTGGGGCGACACTAGAGGGTGGCGGTGCGACAGTAGAAAGAGGACTTGTTAAATGTGATAACATCGGTAAGTGGGGCGACACTAGAGGGTGGCGGCACGACAGTAGAAAGAGGACTTGTTAAATGTGATAACATCGGTAAGTGGGACGACACTAGAGGGTGGCGGTGCGACAGTAGAAAGAGGACTTGTTAAATGTGATATCATCGGTAAGTGGGGCGACACTAGAGGGTGGCGGTGCGACAGTAGAAAGAGGACTTGTTAAATGTGATAACATCGGTAAGTGGGGCGACACTAGAGGGTGGCGGTGCGACAGTAGAGAAAGAGGACATGTTAAATGTGATATCATCGGTAAGTGGGACGACACTAGAGGGTGGCGGCGCGAAAGTAGAAAGAGGACTTGTTAAATGTGATATCATCGGTAAGTGGGGCGACACTAGAGGGTGGCGGTGCGACAGTAGAAAGAGGACTTGTTAAATGTGATAACATCGGTAAGTGGGACGACACTAGAGGGTGGCGGTGCGACAGTAGAAAGAGGACTTGTTAAATGTGATAACATCGGTAAGTGGGAGACACTAGAGGGTGGCGGCGCGACAGTAGAAAGAGGACTTGTTAAATGTGATAACATCGGTAAGTGGGGCGACACTAGAGGGTGGCGGCGCGACAGTAGAAAGAGGACTTGTTAAATGTGATAACATCGGTAAGTGGGACGACACTAGAGGGTGGCGGTGCGACAGTAGAAAGAGGACTTGTTAAATGTGATATCATCGGTAAGTGGGAGACACTAGAGGGTGGCGGCGCGACAGTAGAAAGAGGACTTGTTAAATGTGATAACATCGGTAAGTGGGACGACACTAGAGGGTGGCGGTGCGACAGTAGAAAGAGGACTTGTTAAATGTGATATCATCGGTAAGTGGGAGACACTAGAGGGTGGCGGCGCGACAGTAGAAAGAGGACTTGTTAAATGTGATAACATCGGTAAGTGGGGCGACACTAGAGGGTGGCGGTGCGACAGTAGAGAAAGAGGACATGTTAAATGTGATATCATCGGTAAGTGGGACGACACTAGAGGGTGGCGGCGCGAAAGTAGACTTGTCACATACAGTGTGCATCTACATGTATATCTATCAGTACCGTGCGTGATATATTACTCATGAGCTTCTAGTGACGTCATAGTCATGCATATTCATTACGCGCTCTACTGTCGTGCCATTTTATGCTACCAAGAAGCATCTATAAATTGGTGACCCACAATGCACCTCTCAATCTATGGTGAACTCAACACGACATGTAGTGACATGGAATATCCCGCTACAGCATCAGTGGCCGCTGAAGTGTCGTCTGGATACTACATCCTTTCCCCCTTCTATCTCTGGAATAGCCCTAGCTGGAGTTACCTCAGCCCTATGTTTTATCATTGGGTTGTCCTATAGGGCTGGAGGAAATTGTTATCAAGGATTAGCATCTCTTAAAATTGAATTCCAAAATGTGCCATTTTGTCCCCGTGGCACACTAATTCCCCTTGGGACTCGCCCAAACCTTGTCGGGCATAACCACTACACAGGTCCTTGAAGAAAATAACGGTCCACGATGAAGATTGAGCCTATACAGTTGCAGTGAAAAATGAGGCATGTAATACTGACAGCCGATCAAGTTGTGATCGCTGGCCAGAGGTCTCGTAGGGGTTTTGTGTACAAAGGAATGGCAATGTGCGGTCGATTACCATGCACAGCGCGCACCAGTCAAACTTGCTGGGCGCTGAAGCGCACACCTGACGACTTGGTCGGCCAACTTCGGCTGCCATTCTACCGCAGCCGTGATGTGAGTGACATAAGCCTCATAGTTAGTGCAGCAGTAGAGCATCAAATGTTCGTCATCAAACTTCAGCGCCCAGTTGGCCAACACTGCTCTGTCTTTGGTCAGAGTACAAGCTTCGGCTTTCTGCCAGATTCCGCCATTCATCACGTTTGTCTTGTAAAGTCCTTTAATTAAAATGCTCATTATTAGAATTATGATGAATTAATCAAATATAATCAAATCTTTACGTAGGTGCTGTAAATATGAATTCATAAATGAACTCCACCATGTCCGAGATGGCATCCAAGTCCGTCACTCCATCCGACGAAGGCTGCATTGAGGATTACAACAAAGAGATGCTACGACAGGCCGAATTGCAGTCTGAACTGACTCTCAGACAGTCAAATGTCAAGAAACTGACGCAAGACGTTCATGTCTTGGCAGAGGTATGTTGATTTTGTGTTTTTGTTTTTTTACCCCCATAATTACATCATTGACTTTCTTGGTCAAAATTTCCTTGAACTTGTAATCTGCATGTTGACAGAAATGCACCAAACAATTGTGACAAGTTATAAACCATTATTGTCAGCAACCTTTTGTGGTTGCATGCTTACTGGCACATGAGGTTTTTTTTTTGGGGGGGGGGAGCTGGGGGCAGTGTTTTTCTTGGAAAGATTTTATTATTGTACCCACGCCATAAAAGGTCTGGAGTGGAAAAATCTTGGAAAACAAAATTGTTTCCTTGATCAGAACTATCTCAACAGATGGCACAACATCATTTTTCAAGTTTCATGTATTAAAGTAAAGTTTAATGAAATACGAACCAGAAATTGGCTTGTGTTTCTCAGACTTTTCTGTTCCTGAACTGGCTATGGTGGGGGTACAGGTATGAAAGAAAAATCTTTCCGGATTTTTTTTCGCTGATAAAGTGGTCCTGAATTTTTATGACATTATTGTTTTGACCCCTTTAAAGAGTGCATGTGTGCTAGTACAAGTCATAGAGTGGTGTCACTTTCAATCCCTTAATTGATCCTCAAGAAATATGAACTGAAGTATAAAATAAATAACATCAACTGGCAAACATCACCTGGGGCCAAGTTGGTTAACCCCATCCGCTTTTTGTCTTGACTCTCTTACGTGAAGGAAGTAAAGAGGGAATGCTTAGCTGAAAAGTGGGGTAGTTGTCCGCGGAGTGATGGTACACAGCGAGCCAGGCCAGAAGTGCAGGCCGCAGCACTCTGCAGCGAGGTTGCAGAAAACCCGGATATACTCGACGGTATGTGAGCTTTAACCCCAACCCTTCAGTGATTTACTCGGAACCTTCCTCACTCTTGCAAAATACAACACCATTATTGTAACGCAACACCCAAACTGTTGTTGGACTCTGATTCACATCCTGCTTCAGGACCCAATCCGCTGAAATCCACCACAAGACCACCACTACTATAGGTGGATTTTAATGGACATGGTACTCGGGGCTTGCCTACCAAAGTCCCCAAAATGGGGGAATGGATTTTGATGGATTTGGGAAGGTTATGGTTAATACTGTAAATGCATTTTCTTCTTCTGAACAATGACATCATCACTATTCTTTATTCAAATGCATTGTGTAAGGCACGGCAGAGTTAACAATTCAATATATTAGTTTGCCCTTCACTGACATAATTTCATGAACACTCTATACTCGGTGTTGTCCGAGGGCTAGCGAGAACAAAATTGACCAGCTGACTTGGGTGGGATTCGAACCAACGACCTGCTTACTAGTGCAGACGTCTTACCACTCGACCACCGAGCTTGCTGGGTCGGCCGGCTGGTTCGAATCTGATGTATCAGCGGGTAATGCAAAAACTCACTACATAAATAATGGAATTTTTTGGAGTTGAGAGATGTAAATTCAAATTGTTTTTTTCTTGTCAATGAAGGACGAAATTCAGTGTTGAATTTACATCTCCCCGATGCAAAAAAGAAATGAAAAGAATTCTATCCAAAAAATAGTGGGAGAGTAAATAATATGTTTAAAGATCTGTCCATGCTTCACTGGAAATGTGAAGCAAATTTCATTTCTTGTTTTTGTGAGTGATAGATATCCTGATGAAGCTTCAATACCAGAAGGCCAAGCTGCAGTCAGAGGTCGCGCAGGTCATGTCAAAGTTGAAGGACTATGACTGAAGTCACAGCTTCAGCCCAACAGTACCTGGAAATGCTGAATTGCAAACTTGTCGCCGCCCTCATTTGGCAGACCATGGACTCTGTGCACAAGTACCCCCTCAACAGTTACAAAGGGAGAGTATGGGGAGACCACTAGGAGCGACAGTTGAACGTATTGCTCATTGTGCTGACGCTCAGGCGAATACGCTATAGGTTTGCGCACATTTAGAATAAAATAAGACGTGCACACTTCGCTACATACACACACAAGTGTGTAATTTGCCTGCAATCGGGGACACCCTATTGTCCCTCTTTTGTTTGTACTCTTAAACTTTTTAGGAAGACCTCCCATATGTTTTGTACACGAATCCAAATTGGGGACCTCTCGGGAATTGGGGGACCCTATTGTCTTCTATTGTTCAACGTCCCCTATTGAATGCAGAAACAAACTCACACAAACTGGTACGGGCATGTGGTGTGTTCCACTCCCTGCTGCTAATTTTTTTCCCAAGCGGAACGGATTTTCCAGCTTCTGATTGGTCCATTCCGTGCATATCTAATGCCTTGTTCTCGACAACACAATCTCAACATAGGCTTTACCTCTTGTGAGAACGTCTTGTGATTTAAACGTCTTGTGATTTAAACACCCTTATTCCTTATAATTAATTCTCAAAAGCCCAGGACATTCTATGAATACTCATAACTCAGAGAGAGCGCCCTCTTTCGATATTTTTGGCTCCTGCTTGGGGAAAAAAACAAATGACGTCCCTCTCAGGCGTGGTTGTAGAACCAATATTTTTTGGGGGGCTAGCAGGGTGGATCCATTTTTTTTTTTCAGGGAGGCGTGCTGAGTAGATCATTTGTCATTTGTGTATATTTTTTCGTTTGAAACAACAAAAATGCTCAAAATCTAAAGACGGGTGCTTAATAACTAACCTGATGAAATTTTAACTCTGTGAATGATGTACCTTCTGAGAAAACATTCTAGGATCTGGGTTTCAATTCAAAAGTTACTGAGTCATGTTTTGAATTGCACCCGAAATCAGTGTCAGGGACACGTTCTCATTCAGCCGATTGCAACTATGCGATGCCACACACTGAACAGACGAATTATAGCAACTGCCCATGCGTGTGTATCCTGTCAACGCTTGAGCGCACCCATTCACAGATTCACCCAATTACAAACCAACTGCTAAGGAAATTTCCAAAAATGCGTCACTTGACTCATCCTTAGAAATGACCTCCTTATATTGTTTTCTTCAAAATGACAGCATGCCAGAAAGAATAATTTCACAGGGAGTTTAGTGCCATTACTATCTTTTAACCAACTTCGTCTTCTGGATAGTATTCATTCTCAAGTGTACAACTAAAAAGCATTAGAAGGCCATCATATTAAAAATGGTCACTTACGTTGACAGTTTACTTCCATGACAACACGACCTGACATAAAACTGAAGCATCATATCAAGACTCATATTTTATTGAAGACCTTCGAGTTAAAAATAAATGGATTACTGTACATTGCCTGTTTTACAATTCATGTACATCGAAAACAAGTTTAGTGTTAACTTATTTTAATAAAAGAACTATTTCTAGTGAGTACTTTTCATTTTCATTCCTGTTCAGTTATAAATATTAAATTTTGTGAAATAATTACAACTTGGTTACAATAATTGTAAAGCACTTTGAGACCGTTGGTATAAAGCGCTATACTGTATAAGCATATTATTATTATTATTATTATTATTATTATTGCATGAAAAAAGCCTTTCATGATTTGTATGCTTGTTTCCATGCACAGAAACATTCGGTCTTTGTTTGTGTGTCTGCTTTTTTACTTTCAGATACATGTTACTTTTTTGTAAAATGCAACTGACGTCGGAAACTTTCAAAATGAAAGTTCGTTAGAAGCATATTCATTAAAGGGGCACTGCGTCCTGAAATCAACGAAAATTTCATGTTTTGGATTGTTTACTTATCCTATTTCAATTATCTGGTTGAAAGGAAACAAACCTACCCGTTCCCGAGAAAAGACGGAAAAAAACCTGATTGTTTACATCGGACACGACGGCGTATGATACGTGTTTCCTGTCATTTTCATACAATGTACGATACATGTTGTGTGTGTCTAGTATTACATACGTACACAGCACCGTGCTCACTAACTGCGGTGACCAATCACAAATGCACAAAATGTGATTTTTTACACGTCTGCAAAAGGTGAACCCTTACGGCTGGAATCACAACTAGCACGACAGCCCGACTTTTTTGGGTCGCAAAAGTGGACCCCAACAGTTGTTCTCGCACGAATAACACAAGAATACTACAAAAGCGCCAAGTTTATAGCTTATAGGATAGTTGTGTGGATGTTTATATCCTACTTTTAAATGTTCTTTCCGATTAACAGTTCGTTCAAAACGTGTTTTGTTGTCCAATTGGGCGTATTCCAAGACGCAGTGTCCCTTTAAAACAAGACCTTTACATTGACATGCGGTAAACTGCTTAAGTGTTGATACATGTAGTTTCATTCATTTTTTTTTCCATTTAGAATGAATTTTTGTTTTAAAAGCTTTTAAAGAAACTACCTAAAAATGAGATGTACAACTGATTTAATTCAAACTTGAAAACTATTTGCCAAGTAAATTAATGTCTTAATTGACACAATTAAAAATGCACTGTCATTTGAGTAGATACATCGGCTGATATTTCAGCTCGCTAAACACAAAGAATTGAAATAAACAATCATTAGTAATAAAAGAAATAATAATTAAAATGAATAATCTCATTTTGATTCTGTAAAATAGCACAGGGAGCAGCTTCCCAAAATATGGATAATTTTCAGGCGTACACATCAATTTCTATTATTTTGTTTTGCTAGTTCGAGCCTTTTATGTCGTCTGTGTATCTGACTGTCTCACAAACTAACTGACTGTCTTGCTGAAGTCTCGCCTTGGCCCATAACTTTGAAATGGGATTACCCCGTCGTGCCAATAATTGGCTAAATCTGCATCGAGTAGGCCACATGCATGAAAAGACGTCCAGTGAAAAGTCTTTCTGCATTAGCCCTTCCCCTGTCTGGCTGTCAAATTCAACACAGCTATCCCAGCAGTCAAAATCAATCAAGTGACTTGATACAAAAAAAGATACAAATTAAAGCACGTATAAATGTTACAAGTGATGTGTGTTGCCAAGCGGGCCTGTTAACTTACTTGCAGGATTAAGCCGCCTTTCCATATGCGCGTTTTAGTCCATTTTTTGTCCGTTGCGTATTTATGCCCATTATTACCTATAGGCCCGAATACGCAACGGACACACAAACGGACTAAAAACGCACATATGAAAAGGCGGCTTTACGACAACGATATTAAAAAAAACATGGACTCTAAGAAAACTTTCATGCTGACCAGTTGGAAACACATTTCGCAGAGAAAATTCTAACCACAAACCCCCTTATTTATTTAATTTAAACCTAATATTAAATTTGTTTTAAAGTCGCTGATTTCTGTAACATTTGTTGTCAATGCAGTGCACTCCTTTTGTACTTCAATAATGGCAGAATGCTAGCAATACATGGGGTGAGAACAGAGGGGATTGACTACTGGGATTGAGGGAGGGGGGAGGAGGGTTAGGGGAAGGGAGTGGTGGGTTTTTTGTGGTGGCAGCAATGTTGGCTTATTCAGAGTTTTGAAAGACTTGAATCTGAGAAATTCTGGCCATACCTCACCTCAAATGTACATGTAGCCTGAAAGGAATGCAGTGTCTCGGGTCTCGGCGCCTAAATTCCTAAGAGTGGATTTGATTCAATATGTCAATAGTGCCCTCTCTATCTTTGAGGCAGCTGGGCTGCGCTTAAAAGGGAGGGACAAGTTGGCTTAAAGGCATATAAGATCATTTGCTTTTCATGCATTTTGTTCATTTCCAAAAATGCCACCACTCAAAATCCAAAGACTGTTCAAAACTTAAGCTGTTGAAGATTCAGCTCGTTGGATATTACACCCGTCAATTGACTGATCATAGGAAATTACGTACATTTCTGGATTTCTTAAACTACAAGCCGGACGGAATAATTTCACGGGGTGGGGGTGTTTAGTTCCAAAATGATCTTTAATCCAAGTAAACTTTTTGATGATAATTTGGTAGGCTACTTTTTGGATAAATGCAAATTATCCTATATGCTTTTATAAAGGGAACATAATATAAAAAACTGTGTCTGGAGCAAAGAGATTAAATTGATTGTGCCAAACAAAAGTCGATGTGTTCATGATAAGAAATTTGCTCTGAAAATTGCACATTGTTCGCCTTCTCCCCAAGAACTTTATACTTCACAACGAATGCCTAACATGATTTGTGCACGTTCATTCTACTCCTTCTTGGCCCCTAGTCTCATGGCTCCCATGCCCGGTTTCTTGGCGGCTCTTTTCTCCTTCATTTCTCTCTCCCGTTGCAACCTCTTCTCCTCTCGTTTCCTCTTGGCTTCCTCTGCTTTACTCATGCCTGGAAACCAGACGAGAACAAAAGAAAACATTTAAAAGATTTTTCCAATTTGGAGGATCGGTCAACTACTTGATACTGATCAAAATCGGGTGCATACCTATGTTCCCTAATACCTATGTTCCCCAATATCTATGCTCCCCAACCCTTACCCTAACCCTAACCATCTAACCCTAACCCTAACCTTAACCCTAATGATTTTGGGGAACATACATGTAGGTATTGGGGAACATAGGTATAGACCATTATCATGTTGCGTCTATCTTGATTTTGTTCCCATTCAAATCAACGTAACCAAAGCGAGGCTGGAAGGAAAAATAGTCTGGTTCCTTTTTGCACAAAAACATTATCATTCAGTACTGTTATTGGATACAGGGAACGTGACTGAAATGGTGGCAGCACGATAAAGGTCTATTGGGGAACATCGGGGAGACCCCATTAAAATCTTCATTTATAGGTCTTGTTTGCTGTCGAGAAATGCGTATGAGCAGTTTCTTAAAACTTTGCATGCATCCTCCCATGTGTAGCTTGATGTGACATAGTGAAGGCATCCCAACCCAAAATATCCCCTTTTCACTAAAAAAAAAAAAGACATAAGGAAGAACTCACCCGAGTCATTTCCAAAAGACCCCCAGTCATCGCCAGTCTCGCCCCATCCATCGTCCCCCTCCCAGCCTGATGAGACAGTCGCAGGCTGTGACGACGCCTGGCCCTTCCTGGCCGCCATCGCTGGCTTCTTGGAATGTGCGGCTGATGCGGTGGACTTTGGTTTCTGAGTTGAAGGCTGTAAGGTAAAGACGTATCTAATGATACATATCGTATTATGCATGTATTTGGGGAGGGGGGAGCGGGCAAATGTTCATTTCAAATCTGGAAGGGGCTTAACCTCGTGCCATTGGCGTCCAGCAGTACGCTACCACCAGCTGCTCTCTCACCCCAGTCCTGGATCATAATATCCAAAAAACTTGGATATAAAAAGATTTAGAATAGTCGGATGCCTTTTTAACAACAGGAGACAATTTCTTTGGCGGGGGCACATTGTGGTGTCTAGATTACGCAAACTGAAGCAATTTGTCAGGGTGTTGGATCGAGAAATAAAACATGATATTTTACGATTTCAAATGTGATGATCTTACCGTCCAAAAACATGATTACAATGAATATGATAATAAGCATAATGCAAAAAATGGGAGAACAGATTGGCAATAATAATTCTCAATGAACGTCAAAACAATTAATACGCATCAGAAATATAAGCAAACACCGTTGTTCAGTTCTGTCCACGGATCACAAAAAAAGGTAAGTGTTCTTCAGCAAGACGAAAACAATTCACATGCATCCCTATGTGAATTGTTTTCGTTTTGCTGAACAACACTTAACTTTTTTTGTGATCCGTGGACAGAACTGTAAAACGCTGTTTGTGTTCAAAATTCAAAGTACATGAGTGATTTGAATGATTCTTGTAAAAGAAAGCCTTTTAAATTCTTGTTTAATATGATAAATAAGAAAAGAATCAGAAACTGAAGATGAGATGGTGTCAATGTCACCATAGAGGGGGCACTTGTGCATCATAGGAAACATGAATAGTTTGAAGTCAAAAGCAATTGTAAAAATTGATGCAATTCAGCCATTGGCTACAAGTTCAATTTGAAATAAACCAATAATAATAATAATAATAATAGTCAATACTTGGTACTTGTGAACACAAGATATCTCTGGAAGGAAAAAGAAAAGGGGGAAAAAATCAAGTACCTTTTTTAAGGCACTGCTGAAGAAGTCGCCAGTGTCTGGTTCATCTCCCCAATTGTAGCTACTGGCTGGGGCATGGCTGGTGTCCTTGGCAAAGTCTAGACTGTCTCCCCACCCTGGGGGAGCAGGCGTGGTCTTGGCCCCTTGGGGTTTGTTATCAGCCTATATACACAAAAGACAAAAAGAACGACAAACTTTTTATAAAAGGGCAAAAACTGTCTAAAAGTGATGGTTGCTACCACGTCGGCAATTTCATTCAGTATGCTTTTCCTTATTTAAAACTGGTTGCATTTAAATAGGCCAAATAAATGGCAGTGTTTTTTATCCCAGTGACCCCATGATGACCTTTGACCCCAGTTTGGTCATGTGACATGTTGGGGCTGGGCTACTGATACTTTTGACAAAGTTTGGTTGAAATCGGTCAAAATACACAGGAGCACTAGACAATGTCAACATTTGTTACTAACTAATGGTGAGACGTGATGATTTGTTGGGCTGCTATCCCGCAGCTAAAAATAGGATTTTTTGTTTTTAATCAGACTTAATTGCCCAAACAAATGCCAGTGTGTTTCTTTCCTGTTGTTCAAGCAGAGCTTTTACATCAGACTCTGAAGGTCACCAAGAAATGTCACAGCACCTGGAGACATTTTCACAGCAGATAACTTCAAATAATGAAGTGCAAATGGCTGAATGACATTATACATCGTATGGTAAAGCCTACAAATTGAATATTCATAATATGCAAATGTTTTCTGTATAAACATCATGGTTTCACACAAACTGTTGACACTAATTGTACTGTATTGTGTCCATTTTCATGTCCCAGTATTTTCTCATCTATGAATCTGAATTGCTATCAGATAAACATCTATGAACCTTGGGATTCTGCATGCACTGATTTACATAAATTTACATAATTTATGCACAAATCATTTAGCATGCCTGTCTGTCTGGGTGTTCAGGCAGAACACAACAAATTATATATTTTCCAAACCAGAATTTTCCTCTCAATAAACTGATCTGGTTTCCATCCATATCATGCACTGAATTTAATAACTTGAAAAAATTTCTACCAAGCTGTGATAGTAAAATTGTCTAAGTTGAGGCATTTAAATAGCAACTGTTCTTACTTTCCTCATCAAGAGGGACCAGGAAGACCTGTATACCAAGCAACACACTGAGAAGGTTTCTTTCTCTCTGAAAGCTTGGGGGAAAGTCCCCGGACACTGGGCAGAGAGTGCTGGGCCATGATTGGCCTCTGCTCTCCCTATGCGACATTGATTGGCCAAGACGCTCTCTAGGGCTGAGCTTTAGTCAAGGGAAGGCGATAGTCGCAGCACAGATTTATACAGGTGGCAGGCCAGTCTCTGATTGGTCGGCTAACACAATGGGGCTCACTCTCTTGGTACCTCTATTTCTTTTGGAATCCCAAAAAGAGATATTTTAAAACCACAAGCCCATTTTCAACAAAAAGTTTGATGTGTGTGAAAGCACTTTGAAAAAAATCCTCTCGCAATTGCCTAACCAACTTTAGTTCAAAAGGCAAGTTTGTTTCCCCAGGCGATTTTATATTTCAATTCAAAATTTTATTTCAGGCATTTCTGCATGGAAATGCTGGTCTGTGTGATTTCACACAATCTTTTTTCATGGTTGCATGGTTGCATACTGGTTTATGGCTTTCGACTAGCGCCCCTTAAACAAAGATATTGACTAATTGGGGAACCACCAACATAGGGCTGGATAGCTCAGTTGGTAAGAGCAACGGAACAATTATCCGGAGGTTGCAGGTTCAAGCCCCGCTCCAGTCAAATTCTTTGTTCAACTTTTCAACAATCTGTTTCTGTTCACAAATACATTAGGTACGTACATGCTTAGCGCCCAAAGGCAGTGTTCAAAATGAGGAACAATTCAAACTTTTCAATTGTTCCTTATTCTGTAATCACAAAATTGGCAGTGCGCTCTCTCAAATATTTTTTATCAGCACTGAGAATTTAGGTCACAACACTTCCTTTATCTACCAAAATCCATCACTGTCCAAAAAAAATCATAGGTACATTTGTTTGCACTTATACTTGGACTTCCACATCCGAGTAAAGATATAAGGTTAAAACACAAACCTGTAATCTGGATGCTGGAGCCGGCGTAGAGTCCTCCAAGGAACCCCAGTCATCATCCCCTCCCCACTCCTCTGTGGCTCCTCCCCACCCCTCCATGGCCCCGCCTTGTTCCTCCTTCGCATCCATCTTCGCCCCTCCCCCGTCCATCGTCCCCCAGTCCCCGTCATCCCACCCACCCGCGGCGGGCTCAGTTCTGAGATGTGACTTGTCTTTCTTCGGAGAGCTCTTCGTTGTCCTAGGATTGGCGGACGTTCTAACAGGCTTGGAGGAAACTGAGGAGGAACTGTTGATTGACCCCCATTCATCGTCCTCCATCACACCCCAATCATCAAACGAGGGACTGGTCTGCTTCTTGGCAGCCAGCTTCATGCCGCCGCCCGTCCTGGATTGGCCTGGTTTGGCCTGGCCGTGCTTTTTACTAGCTCCCGGTGGTCGCTGTGGTGGGTCTGCAACGTCGTCACTGTCGCCCCAGCTTCCCGTGTCCCAGCCAAGTTCCTGGGTCTCTGCTCTCGTGGAGGACGGATCCTGGTAAGAATCTCGAGAGGCAGCAGTTTTGGAGGAGGACGTCGAGAAACTCTGAAACCGACAGAGTCAAAGGATGTGAACAGATTTGATTAAAAGCAATAGGTTTTTAGGTATTTGTAGTAATTCAGCTACTTTGGGCAGTGCTGTATTGAACTCCAACACAATCCAAAGCTGCATCGGAGGTGGTTAAAGGCAAAACAGAGTGAGTAAAAAAAAACGAAATCCAAATGTTGGGACCATTGTTTTATTGAAATTCTGCATGTAGCATTTTCAAAATCTAGGATATGAAAGCCCAATTCATAAGAATCATTCAAATTACTCATGTACTTTTCAAGTTACGGAATTTTTAACACAACCACCGTTTTAAGGTTCTGTCCACGGATCACCAAAAAATCAGTGTTCTTCAGCAAAACGAAAACAAATCACATAGCAATGTGTGTAAATTGTTTTCGTTTTGCTGAAAGAACGCACACTTCTTTTGTGATCCGTGGACAGAACCTTAAAACGGTGGTTGTGTTAAAAATTCCGTAACTTGAAAAGTACATGAGTGATTCAAATGATTCCTGTACTAAGAGAAAGCTTATGAATGGGGCTTTCTTATCCTAGATTTTGAAAGTGTTACATGCAGAACTTCAATTAAACAATAGTCCCGACAATTAGGTTTCATTTTTTTTTACTCACCCTTTACTCATGGGTTCAAATGTATACTACACCATATTTCAGCAAATGCTGCAAAAATAGCACCTTTAAACTGTACTTATTTGTGCCAGTCACTGGACAAACCACTAACCGCCACATAGAGTGCATCTAAAGATGCAAATTGGTCACATTTGTATTTTAATAGATAAGCTTGGAGTCTGTGGTTGCTGATCCGTTTGGTACTTAATGCCCATGCAGTAACAATGAGGACCATTCTCAAGGCAAATTATGAAGTGTTTTTTTTTGTGGTATAGTAATTCTACTGTAGGGTTAAACAAATGTAAGCAAATGCAAGGCTGAAAGTCATGCAATAGAACAAGCCAATAAGCTCTGCCAACTGTGCAAGTCGGCAACAGCTCGTGTGCCTTTAAATTTACCAATGCCATACTGCATGTTCTGGATGCGCACGTCATTCGACTGCATGCATGTAAGACATTTGTGCACGCATGACGGACATTAAAGCTGGTATATGTATGCTTTTTTCAAAATGTCAAATTTCTTTTCCAAACGAATTTTAAAGGAACATAATGGCCAGTAACAAATATATTTGCTTGTTTGCACTTGTAGGCCTTTATACAGTTTTAAAAAGTGGTTTTACACAGTGCACTCCACTTCAGAAAGTTTTGAGCAACATGTTACAAATATTCATATCTAGAAACGTAGCCATGTAATGCAAGTATGTTATTGAAGAATCAAACGTTTTTTTTCGCCTGGTGCTACAGGATGATTGCAGCCGGTCCGAGACACTGCTCCGCTATCATGGTAGACTACGTGCCTGGCTGCACCACAGATCCTAAGTCCTATCAGAATCTCTGCTACTTGTGTGTCTTTTCCTTTCACAGGATTGCAAAACCTGTGGTTGAGTCTTGTTTTACATGGTTGCACTGCATACCGTGTATACACATAATGTAGGTGTACGTGTACATTATGTGTATGAACAGTTATTCTGTACATGGACGTACATGTGTGGTTTTCATTGTTATTCATAAACTGTACTGTCACAAAAGGGCATGCGTAACTAGGGCCCGCTGGCTTCAGAAATGATTTAGGAGCGTCCCGCTCCTAATTCAAAATTTGAAATTAATAAATTGGTTGTACATCATGGGCCAATTTTTACGTTCGATGTCTCATTGAAAAGGTCATTATTAATGTAATGCTGGAAAATTATCAATTCAATTTGAAATCTATTTTTCAAGGTGCAACACCCAAAAGGCAAGTATATACCAACTTGAATTATGGTTGTGATTGGTCAACACGTCACGGGGCCGGGCTAAGTGGATGCGTCTATTCCATTTAAATTGCTTAAAAGCAGTTTCAAGAGGTGGAAAAACAAACTGTTACAAGGAATGTCAACTCACGTCAATGTCCCCCCACTCTTCATTCTCATCCCATCCGTCACCCCCTCCCTCACCCCCTGTGTCCTCGTAGTCGGACGCCGAGTCCCGGGCAGCTTCTTCCGCGTCCTGCCTTGTGTCGTGGGGTTTGACAGGATCGGCTGCTTTTGCTGCTGTCACTGGAGGCTTTTGTGCTGCAGCTAAAAAATATGGAATCATTTGGAGGGGAGTTGATATTGGTCTATTTTAAAAAAAAGTTGGGGTTTCCATGTCAGGATACCTAACTCAAATTAAAATATAATCAATAAACATACATGTCTACTCACACAAATAAAATTATGCAGTCATTTACGGTTGGCAAAAGGTAGAGATTTGAAATTGAAAATGGAAGGCGTTAATAACTAACCATAATAAGCACGGGTCATTTGGGACAATTGAACCCTCATCGAAGGCGCATGAACGTGCCTGGAGACAGGCGCACGACGCTCGCGTGTTAATTACAAGCAGAATGATCGTCCGCGTAACATCGCGTATCATCACGTAAGTGATTTTATCCCGAATGACCTTTGACTTGGACTACTTTATCGAGATACCGAACTGGTTTATTGTCCTAAAGCCTGCCACTGTGCAAATTTGAAAGTAGGGCTGTTCATTTCTGAATAATTTAGTATAAGATTACTTGAAACTGCATTTGACCGAATATTCTGATATTCGAAAGTGCCACCTGCAGCTCCGCGCTCTGCCGATCAAAAGTTGCACGCAGAGCGCGCCAGTTAACTTTTGCACGCAGCGATCAATAAGGGAGTGTTGTGCAGTAAGGATTTTATAACTGTCAAGGATTTAAAACCTGCTAAAAGGATGGGAACATTGAACCGCTGCAAAAAAAGTTACCGTCGACAAAAAAGTGGCACTCGACAATAAAGCACCAAACTTTACGATAACATAACATCACAGTCTTGTGAGTACATGCGTAATTTTGGGGTTTTCGAATACTCCAACCGTTTAAAAGCTATTCAAATATTCGGTGGTTAATCAAATTTTTGAATATATTTTGGAACAGCCCTATTTGAAAGGCTAATATAAGAAATAATTCACAGCTTTTTTTTTTTTTTAACCCTCACGTCCTGAGGGCTCTTTGGGGGTTAAGGACCAAATACTACAGAATACTACATGTGTTGTGCACACTTGTATGGAAAGAAATGTATACTACAGGTTACTACTGAGTAGTATTTTGTAGCTTTAGGTGAGGTTCGGGTTAAGGTAATGAAATGTCATTTAACCTCTGAGGGAATTTTGAAACTTGCCACCCAATGCTATACAAATAAAGCTATCGTAAAATGTGCAATTTTACTTGTTTAAGATATCTAAAACATTTTACAACATTGCGCAGTCACACCAAGTTTTGTAATCGCACATACACTGTGTAGCTATGCCACACATTTGTAGCTTGAATACTATTCATGCGTAATTTACACATAATTTCATCTAATCAGCTGCCAGAACTTCACTCTGCAAATCTCCCCACCTGTTGGTGCTGTGGTGGATGGACCTCCAGCCTTAGCTCCCGTCTGGTTGGCCGTGGCCCCCGGCCGGTAGAACCTTGATGTGAGGGAGGTGACGGCCCAGCCAGTCCAACTGGAGCTGGCACCCTGAGCCGTGCTGGCGGCCGCGTTCACTTCAGCCTCTGTCAAATATGAGAGGTGTTTGAAAATATTACCCCTCATGCATAGACTCCCGTTACGTGGCGCATTTGACATTTTCCCTGATTTTCCTCACACAGTGTTAACAAACCTCCTTGTTGACAATCTTCAATTTCATTTTCAGTTAAATACTGGTACTATAGCCTTTAATTCTTGTTGCTGAACGCACATGACATTTAGTCAAAAATGCAAAATCACTGGCATCCGGAAATTGGGCACCAAATCGCCGAGTGTTCCCTAACATGGCGAACTTGAACAAATCTCAGAAATTCCCAAGTGAACATTACAGATTTTTTTTTTAAATTGACAAGTTCTTATAAACCCTTCTTATCTCCAATCACAGATCCACTAGCGCTTTCTCAGAAAATTATTTCTGATTTTGGGTTGAATTTTATAGGTTCAATGCACATTTCAAAATAAAATCGGAAAATCAAACCAAAGAGAACTACCTCTCTTAACTTCGTAAAGGATAGGTTTAACTCAAGGTTTATGAACGGGAATGTATAGAGCTTGACGAAATTTCAATAGCTGTGAGGAAAAACCTTTGCTCTAGGAAGGCACTAGTGGTGAAAAATCAAAGTGCGCCACGTAAGTGGATGTGCCGCAGTAGGGGTCCTCAACATTTGTGCCCTTTTTTTTATCAAAAACTCCCCCCCCCCCAAAAAAAAGGATAAAATAAAAATAAAAAAATGACTCCAAAATATACAAAACAAAGCAAAAATAGACTGCTTACCCATCTCAGCAGCTTTCTCAGGATTGTCCGAAACAGTCTGGAGCCGCTGCAGGAACACACCAATGGCCTTGAATGTCTGGTCCCGGACCCCCTTGTCCGGGTCAACGGTCAGGGTGCAGAGCACAGGAAGCACTTTGAACGCCGTGTCGCGGATGGAGTAGTAGTTTTTGGTCGCCAGCATGGACATGATGCCTGCCGTGCGCGCAGGTGGGAAAGGATCCTTCATGGCTCGCACAAAGGCGGAGGATAGAACCTTCTGCCTCGTCTGCTTAAACGAAAGAAGGATGAAGTTTGGACAGTTAGACGTCATTAAAAGGACAAATATAACCAACTTTCACTCGGGAGGTAACACACTGAGTTTACAATGTTTATACATCGGTGAAGGGCAAAAAAACCTTATATTGATCTACATCATCCTAACTTCTTATGAATAGTTTAATTGTGGTACCCGCTGCTACATGTACATCAGATTCGAACCGGCCAACCGATCCCGCAAGCTCGGTTGTCGAGTGGTACAACATCTGCACTAGAAAGCAGGACTTCATGGCAAAATCTGACTAAATGCTCATTTCGTGGGCACAGGTCACTAATTGTAAATGGCCCTAAAATGTCCGATGGTAAAATATATTTTCACTCCCCGGCAAAATAACATGGATAATTGCTCACCGCTGGGTTGAGGTAACAGGCAATCTTGCCCAGGCAGATGGTGGTGTTGGTTCGAATCCCTCCTTGCTCATCCTTGGCCTGCGTCTTGGCAAAGTGCTTGAGTAGTTCCCCGTTCAGGTTCTTGTCATTCAGTTTGGAGGCCAGCAAGAGCATCGCCTGTCATGAAAACGAGAAATGATAAGGTGGTGTGTATGGACTCTGGGCTTGATCGTAGCAGATGATTTTTCACCACCACTGAGAGCTCTGTAGGAGCGATACAACACGTCTGCCCAAGTTTGCGTTTGTGTGCAAGACTGACAGACTGATCCATTAATTAACCCTAACCCTCCGGGATTTTTTGGCTAGAAACCCTGCCGAATGCAGCAACATGCAACACTTGTCCAAATGACAAGCCTGCCCAGTGTAGCAAGATCCATCATGTCAAAAGTCCCAAGGCCACACTGCCTCAGAGTCTGTGGTCACCGAATGCAGCAGGATACAACTGTGGCATTGTTCAATGGGACTAGCTCTCTATTGTTTCAGAGCTGGCCATTCATGCACTGGTGTTGGTAGCTGAATGCATCAAAGTGCACCAGACTTTTCCGCCTGATGCACTGTGCTGCTTCTGGTAGGGGTTAGGATTCAAGATGGTTTTGACCAATCATGGTCGTGATTAACGTCCAACGCGTGTGTGCACAAGTCTGGCATGCACACACAGTCTTGTTCCGTAGTTGCAGGGACATACACTCGTCTGTACGAGGTATTTGAGGGGACCGAAAATGCTGTGGGGACAGCAGAAAGTCCCCATAACTCGGTCCTAATTTGCCTAACAATAAAAAACTTCCCCATAACGCGGTGTAGGCCAGGGCACGCATGTCGGCACGCATGTCAGCGGCACGCATGTTGGACGCACATGCACACATGTTGGACGCACATGCACACATGTTGGACGCACATGCACACATGTTGGACGCACATGCACACATGTTGGACGCACATGCACACATGTTGGACGCACATACACACATGTTGGACGCACATGCACACATGTTGGACGCACATGCACACATGTTGGACGCACATGCACACATGTTGGACGCACATGCACACATGTTGGACGCACATGCACACATGTTGGACGCACACGCACACATGTTGGACGCACACGCACACATGTTGGACGCACACGCACACATGTTGGACGCACACGCACACATGTTGGATGCACACGCACATATGTTGGACGCACATGCACACATGTTGGACGCACATGCACACATGTTAGACGCACACACACACATGTTGGACGCACACGCACACATGTTGGACGCACATGCACACATGTTGGACGCACATGCACACATGTTGGACGCACACGCACACATGTTGGACGCACATGCACACATGTTGGACGCACATGCACACATGTTGGACGCACATGCACACATGTTAGACGCACACGCACACATGTTAGACGCACACGCACACATGTTGGACGCACATGCACACATGTTGGACGCACATGCACACATATTGGATGCGCGTGGCTGGAACATGCACTGTGGAGAGGTGTACTTGTGTCCACACCCCTGGGCATATTAATCAAACAGTCCAATGCTTCAGTCTTTGATAAAATGCAGAACAGCCTTTCCTAATCAAGGACGTCCTCAATTTGACTCCCGTCCTCAATTACACAAGGAAGTTTCACATGTGTGTCCTCAATTTACACCATAAACAAACCCCTGGTACCATCACCTACCTTGTCCCCAGGGTCTATTTAAACTTTGCTGTACGAGGCAGCAGGGACAACAATTTTCAAAAGTCTTTGAGAACAAGGAAAGTTAAGGTACCTGGGACAAAACACGTGATGTACTCTGCGAACTCCATCATGTCGTCACACATAAACTTCTGTAGTACGTCATGTGAGCAGTTCTCAACCAATGAAATTTCGCAATCCAACACCATGACATAACAAAAACTGATGTTTCTGTGTCACTGCGAGACAGCTAGTGTTTACCTTGACTGTGTGCTCTCTAATAACTGGGTTGGTATCGCTGAAGCCATGACAGATATGTGGGAATATCTGGTCGTTCACCACCGGTGGTTGTAGATGCTCCACAAAATACTCCATCTACAATTTAAAAACAAATCAAAGACAGTAGCATGATTTGAATTTGAGTGATTAAGTCTTTTAACCATTTCGCCTTGGAGGACACGATAACACGCACTGGCTGATTTTATACACAGGCCAGGCTGACGGGTTAAGATGTCAAGATTGCCTCGACTCGCCTCCAGTGACGTCTAAACACGCTTATCTCTTGTGTCTTTTGTACACACACATAAAGTTTGTGACGTTTGTGGAGGTGGACTGTCTGTTGATCTAGAATTGGCCGTTGTGCACGGACTACTGTTGTACAATTTACACTCCAGTGCAACCCCTGGAGTATTAACTCATATGAGGTTTCAGCAAGAAATATCGTACAAAGACTGTTGAAATTCACTTGCGAATCAGTATTTGTGGCATTTGGCTGTATATCAGAAGTTGGCTGGAAAATTTTGCCTATTGCAATAATCAAAATTTTTGGCAAAATTAATCCCGGCGCGAAGTGGTGAAATCCACAAATGTTTCCTGTTCAGTGTAAGTAACAGCGACCATGGACAAACTATTCCCTGAAATAAATGAAGAAGCAAACCTCTTTTTACCTGCTGCAGTAGCTTGACTCTGGTTGCTCTGTCCGTAGAGGAAAACATTTTGACCACACAAGGGACAATCTTCTTCTGGTACTCATCAGGTTCAAGTAGTTTACCCAGCTAAGGAGCAGAAAAAAATACATCAACAGATTCACAGGCACTGTCTAGAGAAAGTCTTTAACTGAAATGACGTTAGAGGATCAGACATTGACTGCTTTATGTCATATCTCTTACATATGACATATCCCTAGTTTTCGTTGTACTGTTTTTCAAGAACGGCTGCTTTCATCTCACCTTGAGGAGGGGGGTCAGCACGGCAGAGCCCGCCCCGCCAAACTGGAAGGCCTCCAAGAGGAGTGGAAGTATCCGATATCGACAGAACTCTTGGGGAAATTCATCAATAGTAGTGCTCAGACTGGCAAAGAACTTGTTCTTCTCAAGTTGCTCCTTGATCTGAAAAAAAAAAAGATTGAAACGGTCACGCTCTGCCAAACAATGTTTGGATCAATCAAATCCCTGCTTAAAACCTTACCCTCCACCCGCCCCTCCCATCCCCCGCTTCTTCCCCTACTCCTTCCCTCGTCCTGCCTGCTTCCTTCACCTGTATTTCCTCCAGGAATAGGTTAGTGTCTACGAAGCTGTTATGGAGGAATCCACCGTCCGCCCGGCAGCTGTCGATGAACTTGGCGGGGTTGGGTCTGGAGAGGGGATTGGCACCCACCAGCTCACAGTAATTGGCAACCAGAGATTTGGGAATCTGTTGGACAAGACAATGTCAGAGGGTCAGAATCGAGAAAGTTATGACTAGCAATAAATAAATATGGTGGCTAATCGTCCTTACTCGCAGCAGAAGCTGAATTGCGAAGGACGCAGCTGCAACGTGGTCGAGCCGAAGGCATGTAAAGGTGCCTTAGACAGCTGCTATACAACCCATGTCGAACAGCCAGATGAATATACTTTTGAAAGACGTGCTTTTTCCATTAAAAAAGGGCAACCATCTTTATCAGTGTTCTCTTTCATTCTGTGAAAGACAACTTTTTCCAGCCACAAAAACATCCACTTTTGTCCTCATTTGCAAGAAAGCAAAAAAGTCCATTGGTAATCACCCTGGGATACTGAATGTGCCCCAGACTACATTCTGATCTAGACTTTGAGAGAATTCTAAAAAGAAATTCTGGGAATAGAGCTGCAACTGCGTAGACAGGTTTTGATTCGGAAAGTTACCTTTCCCAAGGCTTTGAGAGACGATGTCCTGGGCAGAGAACCGTTGAAGATTTCCCATATTAGGCAACCCAAGCCCCACATGTCTGCTGACCTGTGAACATCAGAAACAAAGGTAGAATTGTAAAACAAAACAAAAATAAAGGCAACAAAATATTCAAAAGTTTAGAAGTGTTGTAAAATTATTTTTTCTCAGAACCAACAATTCTTCATGGATAAGATTGACAGTCATTTGCTGTAAACCACAAATTTCAAAGGAGCTTCTAATCAATCATGTCAATAGATCTCTCTCAAATGACGTCACTGCCTACAGATTGACACGTGCATCGGCATTTTGGGCGTCAATTTTTTGTGACGCGCATTGTTGCGCCTGTATTACAAAGACACTTTGAGCAACACGCGTGCGAGTTTAGAACATTTTGCACACTGCGCGCACATGTACCTAACGACATTGAACACGCAGTTGTAATTTTCCTACAAAGATCTATATTGAGAGAGATCTATATGTGTATTTTTGGGGTGTGAGTGAATTGCTCTGTTCCTCACAATGCCTCAATGGCAACTTTCAGAAGACAACTCTGGTATCAAAAAAAGGTGGATTAATTTTCTCATTTTCTATTTAATTTAACTTCATTTCTGTCTTTTGAAGTGCCTCTGAGGGTTTTGGGTGGAGGCCGCTCTGAATCTCCAAACCTCCAAAAAGCCTAGATATTTGAAGAATGAATATTCAGACGGGCCTCAACCCAAATCCTGGGAGATTCTTCACAATAATTAATCCAACAGGTTTGGGAGACTCTGCAGGATTGAGGCAGGCACAGCCAATCCGCAAATACTTAATACATCGGGCTTGATGCCTTAGTAGAACCATAAAGCACAGATAATGAGCGATTGGCCGTCATCACTGCGGAGGATTTCACAAGTTTCAGGAATGTTCCTTCCGTCAACTGATTACCCAGGGAGTTCGGATTAAACCAGCCGCACATTTCAATATGTGAACATTCAGCACAGCCTTAACCCCAGCCTGCTAGATGTTTAGCTAGAAACCTTTCCGAGTCCTTCAAAACCATCCACTATAGACCTTGAGGCCTAAAAACAAAATAGTTCTGCTTCTGGTTACCCTACTTACCAGATTTTGACAGCCCATACCCTATTTTCTTTTTGGGAAAAATGAAGAACCCCCCCCCCCCCCGAAAACCATCTATTTTTACCTTTTTTTTCTGACTACACACAGACACCTCAAAATGTTGGTACACAAACAAAAATTTTGGCAAAAAAAAAAATCCCCTTCCTACCGGTACCTACCATATTTTTAAATGCCATGTAATCAGAAGCAGAAATGTGTTTCTTGCCCTTATTCATGAGGAAGCCATTTTGGTCGTGTTCCCTGAATGTATTTTATAAATTGTGAACTGTTGATTGGGATGGTGCCAGACTACTGATATACGTTCCAAGCCTCACCTTCAATTTTGTTTGTAAATGTGGCAAGAAACAGAAGGATATGTTTCGTCGGTTGCACCACGAACTAACGTATCGCATTTTTTTGTGGTTCGAGAAAAAACGATTTAGAGTTGGTCATTATTTTGTAGGCTCATTCCATATACTCCCTGTGTAAGAATTCAAATTGTTTCGTTTTTGCTATTAAATTATAGATTGAACTTTATTGTATGCAATCCGTGTGCATCTGAGTTGCTTAGTTTTTGAGAAATTTAGTTCCAAAGTTATTCGTCACTTCGTGAAACAGATTTTTATCACGTTTATTGTATGTCATACAACGCGTGTAATAGTGGCCGTGTGCCAGATACGGAGATACGTGGGTTCGTGAAACGCTAAATTCCAATTTTTCATGTCGACGCTCCTTTGTGACGTCATAGCACTATGGGAATTAGCGTGTAAAGTGGCGTATCGGGATACGCCACTTCGTGGTGCAGCATTTTTCATTTTTTAGAGATGTGCCACACAGTCTAATTAGCGTTTTTAGTTAATAGAACTCCGATCGGAATAAAACTTTCTGTGAATGAGCACTTTGATGAAATAATAACGTTAATGACAAAAACTCAATTTGGCAAAAAATTGAGATATGCTGGTTCGTGGTGCGACCGACAGTTTAATCACAACTTTTTATTTATTTGATACCACATTTGAGGTTGTGATGCTTGTACCTCTGAAGATTGCCCACATGTTTATCTTTTAAGGGGCAATAAGCCCCATGTTATGCGCCTATCAAATGCCCCCCCACCCCCCTGCCCCAAGTCCGATGTCGAATTTTGGTCACGTTTTTCATGCCCCAGCGTGGGGAAATTTCGTCACTCAAAAACAGTGTTACCAGTGGCGAACCACATGGAAAGGCAATCACTAGTGCGCCCTACATATGTATGTCGGGGATTGTCTATTAAATTTTGCCCGAGGGGTGAGGATTAAGTCACTTCAAAAGTGCCAATCCCCACGTCTTGGGTGGGGCAGCCCGGGGAGGGGTGGGGTATAGGCGTATTAATCAATGGTAGCTAGGCTCTACATTCCCAAATCCTCAAAAAACTTCTCGGAGGATTTTGAAGAGTCTGCTCCTTCTTACCATGTGTGTGTCTTCTTCCGAGTCCGTGCATCCGACATCTCAGGGGGGTTGTACTTCTCCAAGGCCTGCATGCCTTTGTTGGGTGGCTCGCTCCCCTCCCCCTCAGCTGGGCCCACGTAAGCCACGCCCCCTACTTTCCACTCGCCAGCCTTGCTGACAAACACCGAGCTCATGTTGACGTTGTTGTGCTTGAGTTTGCAGTCGTTGTGCAGGAAGCTCAGCCCTTTCTTCAGACGACACAGACAACAAAGTTTGGCTTTAAGAAACATCTGGTTTAATAATGCTAAAATATTTTATCTGGAATTAATTGACATTCATAAATACCCAAGACAGTTTACCCATTCCTATTAGTCAAGAGCCTGTCACATATCCGGTTATTAACGGTTAATAAAAACCGGCTGGCTGGTCTTGAAGCTATAGTCCATCATTTGCAGCCATCCGAAAAGTAACTGGCGTAATTATTGTTGAAAAACATACTTGGTTGAAAGATAGTAAGGGGACTAAACTCCCTGTGAAATTATTCTTTCTGGCAAGCTGTCATTTTGAAGTAATCAACGAAAGAAGGCCTTTTCAACGGTGTGTCTTAAGACGCACCGTAGGAAAATTTAAATTAGTAGTTCGTTTTGTTATTCGGCGAAGCGCGCACAAGCATTGGCACGACGCACACGCGCGCGGTTTTTATAATTCGTCAGATCAGTGCGCGACATCGCGTATAGCTGCAATCGGCTCAGTGAGAACGCGTCTCGGACGCTGAATTCAAAACATGATTCAGCAACTTTTGATTTGAAATTGAGATCCTAGAATGCTGTTTTTCTCGGAATATACAGCTGAAGCAGAGCTGAAACTCTATCAGGTTAGTTGTTCAGTATCCTTCATTAGATTTTGAACACTTTTGTTGCTTCAAACGAACAAAATGCACAAATTACAAATGATGGAATATATCTTTAAACACTTTTCCAGTGTCACATGAAATATTGACTCCTTTGAAATCCGGTGCATTTTTGTTACCATTTTATTAGTTGAACGTTCACAATGCACATGTAGGCATGCACAATACTACCAGTAAGTCAGTATTTTATAGTCCTATAACTTCACACTGCAACGGCACCTGATAGCTGCGTTCTGCACGACATCGCACATTATGCTAAACACGCGCGCTATTCTCCATACAAGGAGTTGTTTAGCTACACGGGTGTTTCGAAAACATGAACTAAAATTGTTGACAAAAAATAATCCTTGGAAATTTACACATTTCAATATTGCCTGGCCTTTAAAGGGAATATACAATCATTTGCTTTTGCTGTAATTTTCAGAAATGGATGGAATTGGGGGGTTGGAAATATATAGCAAATATAGTTACACTGACTTTTTTGAGGTTTTGGGTTCGAAAATGCTATAAAAACCAAGAAAAACAATCATTTTCCTGTAGTCTGGTTCCCTGACTCCATATAAGAAGAAACAGAGCAGTTTACATACATGGGGAATTGTAAGGTCAGGGAACCAGTCTAGCTGGCTTGTACCCGTTCATAGGTGTGTAATCGATTGCAAACAAGTGCGATGGTCAATTGGGGCCAGTATCCAACGCTGCTCAGCCGACCAGCGTTGGAAATTGATACAAAAATACCACTTTTCTTGAAAATGACAGTATACAAGGTGCCATGATTTTACAGGATGCTTTACACTGTCATTCACTAACAGTCCAGCAAGGTATTTCAAAATGATTTGGTAGTTTTATTTTTTGATGTTTGCAAATGTTGTATGTTCCCCTTTAAGCTAATACTGTGCTGTCCACAGCGGTGTAAGAATTACATGTACATGTATGGAAGAGCTAAATGTACATACAATGTAACTGTGGGACATAACATGTGACATAAAATAAGTAGTGAAAAACAACTACCAGTATTGTTATACATGTATCTCGGTAATAGATGGTGATGTTTTATTGGTGGAGAACTGAGCACGTGGTGTGCCACAAACACGCATGTATGCTGACAGGGTACACCCCGTGGTACATGAGTGATATACCCCACGGGGGACATTACCTTGATCGTCCCCACTGTTAAAAGCGTTACATGTATTTCTGTATTGGGCCTAATAGAAATAGCCCGGGTAAGAGGCTTCAGACAGCGCGCACACGTGCGTACGCACCAAAGTGGACATGACACCAAAAAATTCAAATACATGTGACTTAAACAAATTTGGCATCAAATGAAAGCTAAAGGTCTATATTTTCAAGATTTGAAGTCGGAATTTTTTTTTTTATACATTTCGGTACAAAAAAATAGGATTATGTAATAATCCTGTTTTAATCCTAAAAATGTGATTAATAGTGATATGAAAGTATTCTACCAAAACACACACAAAAATATGTACTAATGCCATCAGTTTCTGTCATGAGAAAGTATTGGTCTTGAAAAACCGACTAAAACTTGTTTTTAACATTTTGCGTAATTTGCTTCGCTTCAGTGACTTCTAATATTTCAGCCTTCCAAAATGTCCTTCCGTTACCGAAAAAATACATATTTTTAATTTATTTTTAAAACTTGCAGTATGAATGCATTGAAAGTTATTGTGCAAAGCAAGTTTAGGTTGGCCTTCAATATGACATTATAACTGACACTGCTGTACTTCTCGTTTTTTTATTACAATTAATTAAATCACGTCCTTCCGTTACCAAATTGGTAACGGAAGGACGGTAACGGAAGGACAAATCGTATTTTTATCAAATTTTACGACATTTGCGCTCATGTTTGAAAAATGAAAATCACTGCAAATGCATGCAGGTATAATGAGCATTGAAAGGACATTCATGTGACCCACCTTCACAAAAGCGGGATAAGCAGGGCAAGGTGTTTATTACAAAGGAAGGCACAGGCATGTACAACATGTACAATGTACATGTGCATATATGCCGATGTACCAGTACTTGTACATGTATGGAGTTGTTGCAGAAAATCAAACATGTGTCAAATCATAAAGTTGCTGCCATCAGCATTCATGGACAATAGAGAAAGATACAAATTCTGTGAAGCCATTCCAGAAGCACATTAAGTCAAAAATGAGATGGCAGAAAGTACCAGTACTTTGGGGCACTTTCATTCAATTTACATGGGTGAGACATGTGAGGTGCAATCTTTGACAAATTATGCCCAAGTTAACAATTTCAGTTTGGATGTTTATAAATTAATTGTTACTACTCTAAATCATTGTAATTTGATTTCAAACATTGATTTTAGAGTTCAATTAAAAGCAACACCTAACTGAAGCCATCAGTTCTACCAGTAGATGTTTTTACCTTAAATGTACATGTAGGCTGGTCGTCCCCCCCCCCCCCCACCCACCCTTTAGGTAAACCACTGAACCTACCGGTATTATTATTAAAAGTTGTTGGTGAACATGTAACCAATATACTCAAGTGCTCAAAACCTGTGTATTTTATACTTTTAAGGATTGAGGTAATGGGTTTGAAGTCCATTTCTGTAGTTGTCTTGTGTTCGTGAATTATGTGTTTTGGGTGGTTTTCGTTTTTCTTTTGTTATCATTAATTAGCACGCTTCTATCTTTATCTCAATAGTTTCTTGGGTATAATTATTTATGCCAGGTCTGCATATTGTTGATTTCACATTCAGTTACACATTTCAGCAATTTGTTTCACTTGTATAATTAGTGTAAATTCACATTTTGTTCATGCTATAATTGAGTAAACATGAACAGCAATTTTGTTTCACTTGTATAATGAACAGCAATTTTGTTTCACTTGTATAATTAGTGTAAATTCACATTTTGTTCATGCTATAATTGAGTAAACCTTTTGTCCTTCCGTTTTATGGGGTGCTATGGTCCATGGGGTGCTATGGTCCAGCGGTTACGGTGTTCGACTCTTGTGCCGTGGTACATGGGTTCGAATCCTGACCGTGGAAACATGGTGCTTGTGCTCTTGAGCAAGGCACTTCACCATTATTGCTTCGTCCTTCGGATGGGACGTAAAGCCGTAGGTCCCGTGTGTTGTGTAATGCACGTTAAAGAACCCAGTAACACTTATCGCTAAGAGAAGGGGTTTGCCCCGGTGTTTCTGGCAGTGGCTGCAATATGCGCCAAAGCACCTTGTAAACCATTACAAGGTGCTACATAATGGGTCTCATATCTCTCATTAACTTTATTTACCTTTCTTTAATAATAGACATAATCTCCAGCGCCTTGAGTACCTAATTGATGGTAGATACGTGCGCTATATAAGACTCCATTATTATTATTATTACCGTCCTTCCGTTACCAAATTATAATCTGCTTAAAACGTTGTAATTATATTACCGAAACACTTAAAGTCAAATGAAAGGCAGTATAGTATAGATAAAGCTTCTGGGATTCCATTTCCTACCTTTAAAATATAATTGCCCCATAAAATTCACAGAGTTTACGCAAAATGCGAGTAAGTTGGAAAACCCTTGTCCATTTTACCGTCCTTCCGTTACCGACCTCATTAATATTCATAATTCATAAACGGGAGGCATTCATGCCCCCCACAAGTGTGGAAAATGAAAGTAGCATTATAGCAATACAATTGTGACATTTGTTTGCTGTAACTATGAACAGTGTCTGTGATACACACATTTGAAATTTTGTTTAATGAGTGAAAACGTCCTTCCGTTACCGTGGAATTGCCCCATACATATTTACAATGGAAGAGTCTTGAAGGGTTACATGGGTACAAGTACATGTAACTGCCTTTGCTTTTCTCACAAAAAGGGTCATCACATTATACACTGTGTAGAAGTGTAACACTAACTCATTGATTAGGACAAACCAAAACCTTATACCGGTATAAGTAAAATACATATTCTGTTTCAAATTGTGACAATCTTAAAATGCACATTCTGTTTCAAATTGTGATGAAGAGTTCTCTAAAAATAAATCTACATGTGTATGATATTCGTAACTGTTCTCTTCCGCTGGTGCATGTACACGTACTGGTAGCTGGTTTCCAGTAAAGTTGCTGTTTTAGTTTCTTTGCGTGAAAATTACTTGGCATTCCATTTTCACAAACAATGAACAAGCTTTTAGACTGTTTTACGGGTTTAAAACTGTTCATCTACATGAATTAATCAGTGATTTTCCACACTGCTCCCCTTACATGGATGGCTGGCACTCATCAGTTACCAGAGAACATTGTCCTGGGCAACTCTCAAATGATTGACTCCCATCTGGTTCTGGATGTGCATACTGCTGC